TTTTCAATCTTAACTTCTATTGCGGGGAAAACCATGAGCTCTCACATTCGTCAGAATTATTCCACCGAGGTGGAGGCTGCGGTCAACAGCCTGGCCAACCTGCATCTGTGGGCCTCCCGCACCTACCTCTCTCTAGGCTTCTATTTCGACCTGAGGATGTGGCTCTGGAGGGTGTCAGTCACTTTTTCTGCAAGTTGGTAGAGAGGAGCACGAGGGCAGGCGCTCAGAGTCTCTTAAAGTCAGCATTCTCTCCAGGACGTGCTGAAGCCTCCCCAAGATGAGTGGGTAAAACTCAGGACGCCATGGAAGCCATCAGGCCCTTGTGAATCTACGTGCCCCGGTCTACCCGCCGATCCTCGTCTCTGTGACTTCCTGGAGAACCACTTCCTGGGTGAGGAGGTGAAACTCATCAAGAAGATGGGCGACACCTGACTCACCTCCGCAGGCCGCCGGCCCCCAGGCTGGGCTGGGCGAGTATTTCTTCAAAAGGCTCAAGAATGACTAGGAGCCTTTGGAGCCCAGAGGCCTTTGAGGGGCCCGCTGCATCCCCTGCTGTCTGGCTTTTGCCTGAGTGTCTCCCTGGAACCTCTAAGCCACCTGGAGCCCTCTCTCGTGCATTGGGCCAAATAGAAACCATAAAGCTTTTATATGTCTCAGATTTCCTTAAAGCTAACACAGGAAGGTAAGAAGTGGATGGGGGTGTAAACACAAAGGAAGTAAGACTATTGTGTAGAGAATGGGAGAATGGGTTGATAGGGACAAGACTACAGGCAAGGAATACCACTTGGAAGCCTATTGTGTTCAGGTGAGATGTGATGGTGACCCTGAGTAAGGCAATGGAGCAAAGTGGGAGAATTTGAGACATATTGAGAGCTGGCCTTGACAGCGAATTGAATAGCTGGGTCAAGGAAAGGGAAGAACCAAAGGTGACTTCTCAGTTTCCAGTTTGAATAACTGAGTAGAGTGGTGTCACTGAGATGGAGAAAACTTGAAGACATGTTGGGAAGGGCAGGTTGGTGGGGAATAAACTTCTGTTGACATTTTTTACATTTTGTCTTTGAGATTTCTATGAGATCCATGAATATGTCAAGTAGATAATTGCCAAGGAGAGATTATATAATTTGGGATAAAATTACATCAATGAAGAGATAATTTTTAAATCTAGACAAATTAATAAGCTTAGTCAGGCAGAGATTAATCAGGCAAACATTTATTGAACCATAACATATCAGTCCATGGATTTACGGTCTAGATGAAGGAGACAAGTCAGTGGTAAATCCTGGGATAAAATATGGACAAAGTAGAGGGTTGCATGTGTTAGGTCGGAGAGAGCCCAGGATCGGATACATGCAGACATGTGATGAGACAATGGACTTCCTCTGGAATTTCTCACAGATCAACGTGCCAGACACAGATACCTGCTTCTTCTCCCTGAATCCACATACCCCCACACAGATACTGACTCATTCCTGAATACCTTGATGACCCCCCTGCAGCTGAAGCTTCCTCAACTGAATACCTCAGCTCATGTCCCCGCCCCTCACCCAACCGCAGTATAAAAAAAGTGCCCCCCTCCCTGTTGGCGTGAATCCACGTGCCCTGTCTTTGGGGGTACGTGGGTCTCCCGGGGACGCAGAAATAAACCTTTTCCTTTCCTTTCTTTTCTGATTCACTGGACTCTATTTCTTGCGCCGCCTCCTGAGCCACCTAACCTAACAGCATGGTGCTGAGAGGCAGGATCACTCTCTATCCTAGCCCCCTCTTCAGTTACAGGGGGATGGACTGTGAATAAAACTCAACAAATGTAAACTACATGGTGTCTGACATATTGTCACAATCTGAATTTTTCAACTTCCTCCAAAGAAAATCACCATTTTTATTGATAACGTCATTCTAGCCTTTTCTTCTCAAAGACTGAATTTTATTTATTTTTTAAAAACTCTATTGTTGAAAGTATTACACAGGTCCTCCTCCCCTCTCCCCCCATTAACCTCTTCCAGTCCGCTCCCATCCCCACCCCCAGGCCCTCACCACCCCATTGTCTGTGTCCACCAGGTTATGCATATGTGCAAGAATTTAAAGGGCTTTAGGCACTGGGTTAAATGTCATGCCCAGCATTTTGGATGCCTTTAGTTTCAGGAACAGATGGGGCCTGAAACTGCTGGTCCGAACAGCCATAAACAAACTAGGCTCCAACTCTCCTTGGTGGGAGGGCCCTGGAAGAGCCAGAGAGGCTGAGGGGAGAAGGCGACCCCAGAGTACATTACCACTGGCTCACAATTCCTGTTTACACAGCCCCTCGTGCCCTTCAAGTTTTCTCCCACCCTGAATGCACAGGCTGAGTGAGCACTGGTTTATAGGCACGGCTGATTCCAATCTCTTATTGTCATGTCTGAATGCTTTATGATGTGCTGAGAAGACCCCTGGCAAAAAGACTGCGGTTAAATGCCTTTTACTATTTTCTTGTTTGTGATGTATCAGGCCAGAGGATGTGTGTAACCTGATCAACCTAGTAAATATTTTAATCCTTTCTATTTTTATGGCCTTCCAGGAAAAATTCCATTTAGGGAAAAAGTAATGACTTTCAGAACAGATTCTCAAACATCCTATCAACATGTTACCAAAAATGGGGCCCAGCCCTGTCAGGGATTTCAACTCCTCTAACGGTGTCCCTAATAGTTTTTGTTTGGAAAGTGTGCGTTTGAGCACTTGGGGAGCAGAGGCTTGGGCAGTGGAGGGGTGGGGGAGTCATGGAGAATGTAAGTGTCTGTATAGCGGAGGGTGGAGGAAGACATAGAGAGGAGTTAAGGGCATTGCCATTTGCTGTTAGGATGCCATTTTCCAGGGCTTTTTAGCCCACTGAACCTACAGGTCTTGCTTGCTACCAGATCTCCCAAAATAGTAACCACAGCTACACTCAGGATCTCCTTTGGTTCTCACAATAAGCCTGTGAAGTACATACACCACATGTTACAATCCCCGCTTTGCACACAGGGGAACTAAAGCTGAGAAAAGCTAAGTGACTTGCTCAGGCCCTACAGCTTAGTGAGCAGCAGCTTTGACCTGGTTGCTTCTACCTCGGTGTCTACTTTGGTTCCTATCCCGTACATGAGCCAAACTACCTTCTGCAAGACCCTTACTCCAAATAAGGTCACATTCTGAGGTTCTGCGTGGATATCTTTTGGGGGGATACCATTCAATCCACTACATTGTGCAACTCTGAATATGCTAGAACCATTACATTGGATTCTTTAAATGGGTGGATTTTATGGTATGTGAATTAAAGATGTTTAAAAGATATAAAACGATCTTTTTTTTTTTTGAAAACTTAATAGAACAAAAACTATATAAAACCGTATAAACGTAGTAAAAATATTTGCTGCTGAAATAAGCCACTCAGCTAAGAAAGATTTATGGAGTATATAAAAGGAGAAAGTGTCCCACCTTTTTCTAAGAAGCCAGCATAATTTTTATTGCAATACAGAATAAAGATAATACAAATAGAAAACAATATACTAATTTTTCTCAAAACATAGATGCAAAGGAGAATGCCGCATGATCGTCTCAACAAATTTGTTAAAAATGATTGAACAAAATTCTACATGTATTATTTTTTAAAACCTTAATAAAGGTTATCTACCAGAAGTTGGGTGACACATTATAAGCACTCATTTTAAAGGCAGGGAGAAAGAGAGAGAGACAGAGACAGAGACAGAGACAGAGAGAGGGAGACAGACGGATGGTGTATCAGTCCAGAGAGCCCAGACTAATCCAGCATCCTTTTACTTTTATGCTATTTTCATCGTTATAGTTCAGGTGCATTACTTGAGGCAGCATATAACTGAGTTTTGTTTTTCTCCAATTTGGCCATCTCTATCTTTTAACAGGGTAATTGGAACATTTATATTTAATGGTAATATTGGTATAGTTGGGTTTAAGCTTATCATTTTGCTATTTATTTTCTATTTGTCCCTATTGTTCTTTGCTCCCTCTTTTGATAGATGGATAGATAGATAGATAGATAGATAGATAGATAGATAGATATAGACAGAAACCGAGGCAGAGATATTTATCTTAGAAAATTGACTCACATGTGTATGTGCACACTGTAAGACCATACATGTTTCTGTGTCCATTCAGACTGCAAAGAGAATCCTATTGCACCAATCACTCAACTTAAGTGTGGATAACAAATGGAAGTCTTTTATGGAATGTTCAAATAATGCTTCTAGATGTGGGTCAATGCCTTTAAGTGAATGAAATTTAAAACAGATTTAATTCACACCAAGTTCAAATTCTGAATGAAAGTTACAAAATCCAAAATCGTCCTTCTTTTTACTCTTTTCTCAGATTATTCCTTATTGACCTTCATTTTTCCATTTTAAAGGAAATATTGTTTTTGTTTAGCCAGGGGAAAAAAAAGTTGATGCAATTTGGATCTAGCCCTGGTGCTCTGAGATAGGGCAGTTTTTTCTGCTCTATGGGCTTAGAAGAGCCTTTTAATGAGTAAAATCAGCCCAGCCAGCTGGTTCAGTGGTTGAAGCACGAGGTCACGGATCAGTTCCCCGGTCAGGGCACATTCCTTGGTTGCGGGCTCCATCCCCAATAGGGGATGTGCAGGAGGCAGCAGATCAATGATTCTCTCTCATCGTTGATGTTTCTCTCTCCTCTCTCTCTCTCTCTCTCTTTCTCTCTCTCTCTCCCTCTCTCTTCCTCTCTGAAACCAATAAAAATGTATTTTTAAAAAGAGTAAAATTATAAAATAATTCAGTATCATAACTGATCCCAATGAGACCTCCTACCCTGAGATTAGATCCTTCGCCTCGGAGAACATTGTATCCTGCACTCTTCTTGCTTCCTTTGGAATTTTAGAACTGAGGACCACTTCAGAATAAGGTTCATAGATAATTAATGCAGCTCCATTTGTTCAGTTGCAGAAATTATCCTCAATTTTTGGTTATTTAATTCTCTCAATAAAATGTAGCTGCTTTTAAAGCACCAGTTTTATGAGGACACACTGTACTTATTGATGCTATGGGTTCCTGTGCATCTCTTCCCAGCTGGCAAACTATAATGACATCCTAGGGATGAGACCATTAGAGAAAGAGACCACATCTCAATATTTACATGGAAAATAAATCCTTTCAATTAATTCTGATTCCAAGCCAGGATGCCTTTTGGGGCATGTGGAATGGTGAGGGGGGGGGGGGGGGGAGGTATGGGGGGTAGACAATCAGGTAAATATGATTAAGAAACAAAAAATTTCTCTTAAATAAAACATTCTGGGCTCTAACACTGCTGTTACTGTTGCTTTGCAATTTTCTCATTTTCTAAACCTCAACATTCTCATCTATAAAATGGAACTAATGTATCTTGCAGAGTTGTTGTGAGAATTAAGTGAGTTCATGATAATAAAGCATATAACTTTTAACAGATGGTGATTATTATTATAAGCCAATTTAAATATCTCCTAAAAAAAAAAAAAAACAAAGTTTAAAGACAAAATAAAAACTGAGAGCCAGAGCAGAGGCCTCTCCCGTTGCTGGACTAGGACCTTGCCTCTCCTTTAGTGCTGAAGCACAGACCGCTCCCTCCCCTGCTGCAGTGAGGAAATCTGCAAGGTTTAAGGAGAAGCCTGACTCATGGAGAGGAATTCGCCTCCACCAGGCTAATGTCCCGTCTGGGGTGGTTCAAAGATTTTGGAAATACCAGCTCTGATGTCCTCTGTAGTTTGCCACTTCACCTCCCACTCTCTCATCCATGACGACTCAACACTAGAGCCTGGCTTGGCCAGAGCACAAAGGCCATCCGAGTAGAAACATGGCCAAGGACATAGGGCAGTGGGAAAAAAAGCCAGGCAGGTCACTTGGGCTACCCCTACCCAAACCTGCACAAAGGGAGAGTATAATGTCATTCATAAGTGGAATGTAAGGAAAACACCACTCTTAGAAATAGAATAAACCGGTGGTTGACAGTGGCTGGGGGTGAGGGAACTGGAGAGATTTTGGTCAAAAGACACATACTTGCAGTTAGAAGTTAAGTAAGACCTAGAGAGCTAGTGCACAGCATGGTGATTACAGCCAACGGTACTGAATTACATACTTCAAAGCTGCTACGAGACTGGATCTTAAACGTTCTCACCGCAAAAAAAAAAAAAGAAAGAAAGAAAGAATCATGTGACAGGATGGAGGTGTTAGCTAACACTATGGTGGTGATCGTACTGCAGTATAAAACATATCAAGTCAACTCTCTGCACACCTTAAATTTACACAATATCATGTGTCAGTTACATCACAATTTGTTTAAAAGAATTCTTCCACCATCTCTACTTTCATTTGTCTCTTAAAACTTTCTAAATATACAGAATAATAAGAGCATCATCCTGTTCAGCAAGGCTCTTTTAAAATTATTTATTTTTCAGATGTCATTCTGGTGGCCCTGTGAAAGACAGGTAAGACAGGTATTATATTATCTACATGGCTAATAAGTAGGAAAGGAAGGATTCAAACAAAGTTCTTCCTTGAAAACGACTCTAAGACTTAAAGCCTAGAGATGAGAAAAATGCTAGCATCCTGGACAAAGTTAAGATTGTTCTATATATTTTTTTACTATACATATATTCTTTATTTTGCATTTTTCATTGAAACAATATATATCTTGGAGGTCATCCCTTAACATACACGAAGTGTTTTACAATTTTTTCAGCTGCATAATATTCCATTGCATGAATGTGTCATAGTTTACCAATTTCCATTCTTTTCTTTCCTTTAAAAAATTTTTTTTAATTTTTAATTGAATTTATTGGGGTGGCATTGGTTAATAAGACCACACAGGTTTCAATTGCACAACTGCATAAGTCATCATCTGCATCCTGCATCCTGGGGTCACCACCCAAAGTCAAGTCTCTTTCATCACCATTTGCTGTCCCTTCTTTGACCTCTTCTACCTCCCCCATCCCCACCCCGGTGATTACCATATTGTTGGGGGCGGGGGTGGATTTGCTTAACCCCTTCACCTTTCCTACCCAGCCCCCCAAAACCTCCTGTGTCCCAACAGCTGTCAGTCTGTTCTCTGTATCTATGATTTAAAAAAAGAAGGAAATCTTAGCTTTTGTGACAGCATGGATGGCCCTGGAGAGTATCATGCTAAGTAAAATACACCAGTCAAAGAAAGACAAATACCATATGATTTCACTTATATGTAGAATGTAATGAACAAAATAACGAACAAAATAGAAACAGAATTTCTGATATGCTGAGCTTCTGTAGATAGCAGGAGCCAAATGAGATAGGCAGCTAACTTTGAACAGCTTACCAACTTGAAAAATAATTGGTGTATAGTGGCCTAACGTATTACATTGTCATATCCTTCTTTTAGCTCTGAATTTCCCAGATCTGCTTAAGTATCTTTCTAGTCCCAGCCAGTTCAACTTGGACAGCCTCTAAATAAAATTAGAGTAGGCACTTTGTGTACAGGACTGTTTGAAGCACAATGCTGACACCTAGTGTACTGACTGCATATTTTCCTTCATTCTATTTTTTACTTCTGTCCCTCCTTTCCCTACGTCCCTCCCTCCATCTGTCCTTCCTTCCCTTTTTCCCTGCGTCTTTCCTCCCTTTCAAGAATGGCTGTTTGCAGAGGCATAGATACATGAAACAGACTGACAGCTGTCAGAGGGAGGAGGAAAGGGGAACTGGATGAAAGATGAAGGGATTAGCCAAGAAACATATACACGGAACACATAGACACAGACAACAGTGTGGTGATCGCCAGAGGAAAATGAGGGTGGGGGCTAGGTGGGGGTAAAGAGGGGGGAATGGAAACGGAAAGAGACTTTGCTTTGATGTTTTATGGAGTTGTACACTTGAAACCTGTATGGATTTGCAAATTAATGTCACCGATAAATTTAATTTTTTTAAGTGAGTTAAGATATACCAACCATTGAAGATCTACAACACGTTAAGCATTGCGCTAAGCACTTTAAACATATTTATCTTCCTTAACTATAAGTAATTCTTTATGATCACCCCTATTTTGCAAAAAAAAGAAAAGAAGCTTAAAGAGTTTAGTCAAATGCCATTACTGCAAAAGTTAGGGTTCAGATGCAGATGTCTGACTCTGCAGTTAGAGCACTCAACCCCTATTTTTAAAGGAATCATGTTTTATTGGGTGGTTAAGTTCGTTTATATGCATTCACTTGTAGCACATATTTACACAGACTTCCCCCAAGACTATTGCTAAGAGTTAATGTAGGAAATGTGACAAATCTGAGGTCTGCAACTGAGCCAGCCCTTTTCTTGATTTAATAAATGTCTGCAGCAAGATGTCAGCCCTAGAGCTATCCACATGCTTGTTCTCATGCTCTCTCCGAGGGCAGGGGAGACTCCAGAGTCTCTGGGTAGGTTCTGGTGACCTCTGGTGTTTCCAAAAGAACACTTATCCTGTGAGCAATATACAGTGCAGTGTAGTTCTGTGTGGGGGGAGTGTCTCTTCCCTCAAGTTGTCTTGTTTCTTCTTCCAGACTGAGTGCTCCGAGAACCCAAAGCATGCGCCTTTCTGTTTTGAAGGCAAAAAGCTTGGCATATAGTGGGCCCTCAATAAAATGCTGAATACATTAATGAGAGACTGAGAATCTGTTATTTCTTTTCTAAAGTTTTCTATGCACCTGTTACTTAGAATGTACAGTTATTTGAGTACAGTTGCTTAGTGCCTGGTGTTAAGATTATGGTTGAGTACAATCCCCAAGGGAGCTGCTTAGCTTCTCTCTCAGAAGACATGGTCCCCGGGGTGTGACAGTGCCTCTCCCTGAGAACTTTCAAGAGGAACTTTTATGTCCCTTTCTCTTCTCCCTTCGCTGTTCCACTGTTTCCAGTCTGATAGTAAGACTGTCAGCTCTGTTCATGCAGTGGGAGTAGAACAGTGGGAGGGGTAAGGAACAAGCTTTTCCGTCAGTTTGACCAAGCATAACTGTCTGCTCTCGGGGCTTCACTTTTGGATCAGCCTGATTTTAGACTTTGGACTTAAATCTTTATAATTAGTAAACCGGAAAAGAGCCTGTCAAAATATTTTTAGACTGGTTCTTCTACAATAGTTTTACTCCCCACTTGGCTAGTATATAGTGGATCAGAGAAAATACTTTGAATAATTTCAATCTTCTTAATTTTATTGAGGCTTCTGTCCTTGCCCGGCATATGGTGAATCTTTGTGATTGTTCCACATGGGCTTAAGAGACAATACATTCTACCAATCAGTTTTATTTGGTTAATAATATTGTTCAAGTCTTCTACATCCTTACTCATTTTCTCTCAACTCATTCCGTCGTTATGAAAAAGTTCTTCTGAAATATCCAGCTATGATTGTGAATTTGTCAACTTCCCCTTCCCATTTTATCAGTTTTTTAATGTTGTATTTTGACTTTATTAGGTACAACAGAGTTAAGATCCTTATTTCCTCTTGATGAGTTAACGGATCATCATAATGAAATGTCCCTGGTTACCCATGTAGATCAGAGTATATTTTACATGACTAACACAGCCACTCCTCTTTCTCTGGATTTCTGTTTACATAAAATTGGATCTCGCTTTTTAATCCAATCTGACAATATCTACTTTTGATTGTGGTGTTTGGGCCATTTTCATTTAATATAATATATTCATGTAAACAGCATTTTTTATAGTTGTTTCTATTTGTCTCATCTGTTCTTTGTTCCTTTTCTCTTATCCTGACTTTTTTGGGGTTCACTGCAGGGTTTTGTTTTGCTTTAATTATTTCCATTATTGGCTAATTACTGTTTGTTTCGTTATTCTGTCTTAGCAATTGCTAGTTTACAATATACAGTTTATCTTCAAATAACACTTTACCACTTCACATATCCTGTACTAGTAAGACCCTTACAATGCATACTTCCCATTCCCCACTCACACTGATACTTCTTGCATTTTACTTTCTACATATGCTATGAATACCAACTACATTATTAATATTTTTTCTTTAAACAATTTTTTAAGATTGAACAATGAAAACATCCTTTTTATTTACCATTTCCCACAGTCTCTTCTTTGTGTGGATTCAAATTTCCATT